GCACTCCTGGCCTTTCGGCGTTCTTCACGAGAGCCCAGAATTTTACCCTGCTCGGCGATACTCACACCTCTCAGGCCTTCCAGAAGATCCAAAATCAGCGCACGCTGCTGTCGCGCCGCGGAGGAACGTATGAGAGCAGCCTCTGCGTTGGCGACCCGTTGTTCGTCCAAGCCCGGAAGGCTGAGCATCACAGCCCGCGGGGTGGGGCTGGACGATCCATACAGAATCCAGATGGAAGCGATGAGCTGGGCAAGGTCTTTCTGCATGTCAACAAAGTAAGGTTCGTGCACAGATGTGATGCAGGCCTTGAGCACCTCGGAAGAGATAAACTCGCGGATCGTTACGGTTGTTGCTGTATCATTGGGGGGCGCAAAGTCTTGAAGGATGGAGCGAATGACGCGAGTGATGATGCTGCAGCACCGGGTATCGCGCATACGGAGCGCATGGGTGCAAAAGAGCATCACAGGCTCGAAGATCTCAGGAGAAGAGAGGACAAAATGCCGGATGGAGTCAGAGAGCGCCGGTGCCGCCTGTGGGACACTGGGATCTACGGGCTCGTCGTCGGGGTCTGAAACAGAGAGTTAGCACAGTATAGAAATCACAATGTCACTCAACTTACCCCCTCTCTGCGGGTCCAATAGGCTTGCCACGAATATCACCGCGGAGTATGTCAGCTGCCGTAGGATACTTTCCGATTTCATTTCATCGGTCAGATCCCCTTCCCCAAGGCCTTCCTTCTGACGTTCTATGGCGTCCCACTCGGATGTCACTTTCTTGTCGATATTTGTGAAAAGAGTGGAGAGCATTGGGGGCAGGAACTGGGCCCGGAAGCGGACAGGGCAGTCATCAATCAAACACCTTGAGATGTTAAGAAGGACGGAGAACTGATGGGAGGAAAGATGGGCGGAGTCCTTGAACAGCGCCTGGGCAAGGGGGCCGGGAAGTTCTGCGAACCCATAGAAATGCTCTCGCAGCCTGCTCATGCTGAATAACATGGAGTAGCAGGATTCTCTAACTGCGCGAATCTTGCCTCTTACTGAGGATGCAAATCCCTCGAGAGAGGCTTTCGAGGCCGTGATCTTGGCATAGAATTCATCCCGGCTTCCAGTGGAAATTCCAGCTTGCCAAAATCTATCGGTCAGGATACGCTCGACCACACCGCGCATGTCATGAGGCAAGCCACCCCAGTTCTCTGGGTTGTGGAAGGCATGCGCGTTACTGTGTGTGGTTAGCCAGATATACAGGGCTGATGGACAGATGGCTTACCTGACAAGCTGCAGTAGCGTTGGCAGAATTGTCGGAATGATGTCATGCCAGATATTGCAGGCCAGTTCGTACGCCTGATCTGTTTTCTTAAGTTTGTCCGAGGAAACGGCCAACATAGTCTTGGTGCCTCTCAAAGGCAATTGCTATCCCGAAATTAGCACGTGTTGGTGATGACTAGGGAATTATTATTACCTGGAACTTTCTGGTCATCTCTTCCTGGATTAGCTTGCCCTCACTATCCAGAGGCACGGATGACCAGTCCTCAAGCTTGGGCGCATGTCGTGCTTGCATGTATGGACCAACACTCTGCAATCCGAGCATAACGCAGAAGCCTTCAAAGGTCGAGCTCATATTACGAAACTCCTCTTCCTGCCAAGCATTTTTTATGGGTTCCACAAAAGACACCAGGCGGGACTGGCGGAGATACGGTTCGACGTTGTTTGCACGTTGCCTGCAAGGTCAGCACTAGGACGCTAGATCTGATGTTGTTGAGCCATACATGATGATGAGCAGGATCGATGTGAGCTCCATTTGGAGCTTGTCATCTACCCGGTTGGCCATACTGATCTCCTTGATCTTAGGCTCGAGTATGTCGTAGAAGGTCTGTGGACAGAACAGTTAGCAGTGCTTGGAGCCATGGTGGTCTAACTTACAGCAAAGTAGTCTGCATAACGCATAGCCAACCTCCGGAGCTCATGGCTGGTCAAGCCGTGGAGTTCCTTGACGGACTCGGAGTACACTGGGTATTCCGGCTGGTCAGGTAGACGCGTCATGAGGATATATTCTAGAGCCTTGAGTGCAAAGCTAGGGGTCTTATCCAGAGCTTTGGATGAGATATCGACAACAAGCTTGATGACCCGCTGCTTAAGGATAGGATCCTGTAGGGTAACATGAGTTGGTTATATTGAAACATAATATTCGAGGGCAAGTCAGTCGAACCTCAAAGTTCCGCTGCATCAGCTTGAAAGCCCATGCCTCTAGCATCTGTTCTAGTTCGCTCCGCTTTTGTTCCTACAATTATGTTAGCTGAATAACAGTGATTGGAGTCGTGTCTCGCACGTCTTGCTGGGGCATCCGTCCATGCGCAGACACCCATTTATTGTATCCCTTCAGTGTTGCCTCAACGACTGCGAACTGCGTGTCGGCACGCATCAGGGGCATTGAGTTCTTCGAAAACGACTTGACTGATGCAGGGTTTAGCTAACAGTTCAAACCCAGGCAAGACATACATACCGCTGAAAGGCTCCACTCCGGAGTAGAGATTGTCTAGGTTAGAGTCAACTTCCGATAAGATATGAAGAATGGCTTCCTGTGGTCTCTTTTGTACGATGCTTTCGATGATAGACGAGCAGTAGCGCCGGTAGTTACCAACGAATGCATGTCTTTCGGGGATAGTGTCAATATCCTCGTTGAGGAAAACAACCGTAGCATTCTCCGAATCGGACGGGAATGATTCCCAACGAATCAATCTTTCGGTGCAAATACTCAGTAGGGAAGGCACGAGGCCAGTAACCAGGTCTGTATTTCCGATCCTCTCCGATGCGATTAACTTAGACCACACATGAAGAACGGGAATCGAAACAGTAAGACTTTGGTTCTGAATAACGCTGACGGTGAGGTGGAAAAAGAACGGAAGGTTAAGGCCCTGTACGCTTTCCAGGGCAAATGACTTTTCCTCAAGGAAACCCGCAATATATGATATCATCTATTCATGTGCGTTAGTGTGCGCCTCCCCATCAAGTGCGGTTCTTTTTCATACCTCAGACACTTTCTTACATATGGTGTATCGTAGGTCATCGACGTCGTCAGGCCCAACGACGGACCATTCGTAGAGTTTCTGCAGCACATTCAAGGACTCCGTTTCGTACATGACGTGGACAAGTGGTTGGAAACCCTCGATGTCGACATTGGAACGGCTATATAAGGCATGTAGGGCTTCAACCGCGGCCTAGATTGGTTAACATTAGCACATGCTCCTCGCACGACCTCCAAAGGTTGGGTGGAGACTTACCATCAACACATATTCGTCATCACAAGTGAATGCCCTCGCAATTGAAGGAACGCAATTGGCAGAGAGGATTGCCTTGGGAATTGACCATGCAAGGACGGACTTGAGAGTCGCGAGAGCTTTAAGGGCCGAGTCTTTTGCTTGCTTCGAGTTTTGGATGTTCCCAATACAATCGGCCAGGAACCCACAGATGCGGGAAAGCCAACCTTCCGGGCCACAGCGCAGGTCAATACTGTCCTTCTTTGGGTGAATCTCCTCGAAGACAGACAGGGGAGTGCAGATCTCCACCAGAGCCCGATTGAGATCCGTGCCGCGCAGGGAAGAAACGGTGTCTTCGCGGTAGAAGATGTCTTCGGAAAGGGTTTCCAGGATCGACAGGACTAAATCCTTGTGAACAAGACTAGCATTCCAGAACTGAACGAGCGTGGCGTCCATGTCGTTCCAGTCCAAACCCCAACTCCGTTTGGCGACTTCGGCCCATAATTGGGTGATTTTGTTGCGGATATACGGGGGATCTTCTGGCCGTACCGATTCGGCCAGCTTGAGGACCAGACCCCTAAGTGCATCGATCTGTTCTGATGCCTCAAAGGAGGTGTGACGCAAGACGTGATCTAGCAAACCCAAGCCGAAGTAGCGAACCAAGGGGTTGCTCTGTTCGGGGGAAGCGAGCAGGAAACCATTACGAGCAGCAGATTTGCTTTCTTTCTGGGCCTCCACAAAGGTCAAGGCCTCCCTGCGCAGTTCATTTGTCGAGGAGGGGCTATGGATGAGCTCAAGGGCACGGATGATGTCGGCCATGCGGCCCTCCGATAGATCTGCCTCAGCCGCCATGATTAGGATCTGACGGAACTAGTGCCGCCAGGGGACGAGTGAAGGATAAGTATAGCGGAATGGGTTTAATTCAAGACTTTTTCCAGTGGCAGCACCAATGCCGGCATGATCTAGGCCCTTGCAAAGCCTTGGTCACTCTTCCCGATGAGAGAGAGATCCGTCGTTGCGGGTCAGGTAGGACTGCGTTGGGCAAATAACAAACGCTGCCGCAATCAGCCTTCCAGAAAAGGTGGGCGACACACGGCAACCGCCTCCGAGGCAGTTGCGGCTCGGCGGTGCAGTGGTGTTCTGGAATGAATGGGGGATGCGGTTTCTGCCTAAAGAAAGGGTTTATAAGGAGGGGGGAACCACGGGGAAACTAGGAATGTTCCGAGTACGGAATTGAGGAATTGCTTCTCTCTTCTTGGTGCTTGTTGAGTTGAAGGGGAACGGGGGAAACCCGAGTCTATCACGTCCGATAGTTGGACTGAGGGGGAGGGAAGAAGACTGCAAAAGTGGGATAGGAAGTAAGTTGCAGTAGTAGTAAGAAAAGTAACCTTTTTAAGGGAAGAAGAGGATCGGGAACAACAATAGAATGGTCAACCACAATCAATCATAAATAGCTCACTGTGAATTTTCCACGCGCCGCTGCTCCAATCACCACACCGACTAGGCGGTCAGGGAGGGGCATGCACCACTCACAGCACGCCCTGCCCTTCACCGCTTCCCGGGGTTGGCCTTATCGATAAGGCCCGGATCAGCCCTGGAACTTCCCCTCTCCGTCGGCATACAGAAAAGGAGAGTTTATTTACCCCTTAAACCATAGGCGGCTTGTTCCCTACTCAGTGACCATGACTGCAACCTACGTTGATATGTTCTATGACAGAAGATATTGGAAGAGAAGCAAAACAATTACCGTACTTAGACTAATAAGTGTGACCCGTAAACTCTAATATGACCGGAACTCCACCAAGCATCTGGAGAAATATAGTTTGTCGTCACAAATGTTATACTAGGACGCAAGAGCGATGGTCCAGCCATCTACATCACCGTGCAACCTCCTTTCTGGCACTGCTCAAGATAGCTCAGATCATCCGCCGACACACTGCTCAGGTCGCCGGGCTTTCGCTTCACACCCTGGATCTTGATATCCTGCTCCCCTTCCATATGCCACCAGCGGAGTCGTTGCACCTTGATCGAGTTGATCTCCGTGTAGTCGATGCTCCACTCGCCACTGCTGACCGAAACCACGGTTTGTGTATCAGGAAAGTGAAACTCGGGCAAGTATATCTCCGTTGCCACCTCATCTCCCGGAATCCGCTTGCTGCCGACCAGCGATAGGGTGAACGTACAGTTACGAAGGTCAAAAAGATACTTCGAGACATCTCCATAGGTGTAGATTGGGCTGGGTCGGATGTATGCCTCTCCAGCTCGGAATCCCAATTTGTCTGCGTTGGACTGGGTGTATACTGATGTGATGGACGGTGTGGCCAGCGCGTCCTTCAAATTACCGGGTCCAACCTGATGGTGCTCTGGGTTGCCCTGACTTTCCGAGTAGGCGGGTGAATGAGGGTCGGGGTCCGTTCGGGATTCACCCTCCAGTGCCAGGAGCTTGCCACTTGGCAGCTCCAGATCATCGAGGGAGTAGATTGACAGATCTTCGCCGTTCCAGTTGTCGCCCCACTCGTGGTTGTTCTGTGAAACGATAAAAATAACTTGTTAGAAGAAATTCCTCTTCGGGACGGTCAGGGGGCAATGCTTACCGTGGTGGTGTAGAGCCAGAGCGTGAAGCCATTGCCCGTGCTTCCTTCTAGGGCAAAGTGGTTCGCATCCATCGCACTGACTTGGCTGCTATAATCGCCGGTTTTGTAGGCATGTTTGTCGTCCATGTCATAGGGAATACCAATTTCCGTAAAAATCAACGGATGGTTCCCCATGTACTTGAGACTTTCATCACGGAGGAACTTGAGTTGGTCTCGCAAGCAATTTCGAATGGCTGTCTCTCCGATCTTGACGGCAAATGCCGGAGTCAGATACTTCCCTCGAAGAACACCGATTACATCCACATTGTATAGCCGATTCCTATGGCTGTCAGCACCATAGGATGTGTACGTTTTGAGTAGGTCCAACCTACCAATGTTTCGTCAGGAGTGTAAGTCCATCGTAATAATGTACCGCATGGATCATGTTAGGATCATCATCGGCTGTTCCCTTCAAGTCCGGGGGTATTTCCATGACCGGCGGTTGGCACAGCATGATGGCCCCCGGCCAGACACTTCGGAGAGCATCCCTGTAAGCCCGATAGTGTTCCATAAAGTACGTGTTAGTAAACCTATCATAATTCAGGGGTTCTCCGGTCTGTGGCACTTTGGAAAAGTAATCCTTCTGGAGAAGTTGGTCCGTCGACGGATCCCAAACTCCATGCTGGGCCCAAAGACACTCGCCTAATTTCCAATCGGGATCGCGCTTCCAGCCGTATTTGTGGTCGTCATAATCGGCTGGCAGCCATGCAGATTCACCCTCAGGGTCTACAAGTTCTCTGCCAGTCTGATGAGGGCCGAAGCTGCCAAAATTCCAAGTTGTTTGCTCGCATGCTCGTCCCGAGCCAGTAAGCATGGCTTGGAAAGCAGTGGGCGATGTGCCGAGCTGAAGCTGTTGCTCCGGTGGGATCACGGATATGTCCTGTACTCCAATGAGTCCGCGATGGGGCTCATTCATGCTCTCCCACCCGATAACGACATCATTCTCAATGTCACCAGCCTCATGGATCTTCTGAGCGAAATATCGACATGCTGCAATGAAGTGGCCTTGCAGATAGTCCTGTATGTTCATGCCGTTGATTATCGCTTTCGGAGCAAAGTCCCGGCCTCCCCAAAACAAAGTGAACATTGTTTGACAGACAAGACGGGTGTAGTTCGTACTCCAGATCATTTTAGGAAATTCGGCCGGGACATCATACGTATTTTGAACAAGGGCAGCTTCGGTCTTCTTGAACGTCCGCGGGTTCAAGCCTGCCGCATAGAGGGTCCAGGCTGGTGCACCAGAGCCTCCTGATAGTCTAGACCACTGGACTTGTTCAGCAGGGGCTCATACGACCAAGCAAGCATACTGACTAGGAACATACCACATCTTGATGAGGATCCAGGAACACATAGAATTGGTACTGCTTGGCGATACGCAGGACCTCAATAGTGAATGCTATCCATTCATCATCGTACTTTCCAGGCCCTTCATGTTCAATCGCTTCCCATGTGAAGATGTATCGCAAAGTATTGTAACCCCATTTGCGTAGCCTGGCAAAGTGTGTATGAGCGTCGTCAAGGGAGAAAGGGCGACCGACGAAGGAAACGTTATCGGCGTCGAAGAAATTATCGGAGATGTAAGACGGTGTATCAGGGTTCTTAGGGTATTTGCATTCACCAGCAACGTTTATTCCTCTTAATGTAATCTCTCTATTGTGCGAGTCCTTGAAAGTCCGACCATCAATGCGGAGTCGTAGAGGGCCCATGATCGCTAGTGGCAAGGTAGGTAGTAGGCGACAACGAAACGGCGTTGACGCTTCAGGTATGATAAAAGGGGTGTAGACACAGACGACCACAACCTCTCGGAGAATATCTAGCGCAGCCTAAAGTAACGAGACAGGTCGGGTGACAGATAGGTTATTCTGGGAGTTGAGAGTCAGATACGGTGTACAGCAGGACAGCCGGGGGCCGAATGAGGTGTCGATCGGGGGATCCGCGCTAACCTTGTAGGAGCAAGCTGTTTAACCATCAAAGGCAGAGTCAACGAGAGTGAAGACAAATGTGAAACACGAAGAAATGCACTTTTTGTATAAGAGACGAATCCAGCACCGCAGAAATTCCCCTGAGTGCCTGAAGGTAGAGTGAATCCAGGATCACTGCGGAGAGAGTATCACGGGTGATTGGAGATAACGGGAAGGCGACCGGGCCTCTGACGTACCATACGAATATACGATCCGTACCCGCTTGGGCTTCCCCACATAGACTAGCTAGCCTTTTCTCGACCGGCGCTCAGCTCCTCCACTTCGTCTATCCAGAATCTCGCCTCGACAGGCTGGGCCATGAAGCAATTGTTCTAGAATGTCAAGCAAATCCGCTCTGAAGGCGGTGCGAACAGCACTCGACGCAAAGGATTTCGAGCTTGCAGCTGAGAAAGCCAAAGCTATTGTGCAGCAAGACCCTCAGATCTACCATGCGTGTGTTGCCCCCGACCCCGCGGTACCCATTGCGCTGCTCACTGTCTAACCATATCACAGCAATGTCTTCCTTGGTCTAGCTTTAGATAAACTCAACAAAAACACCGAGGCTGAAAGAGCCTATCTTTCGGCAATCCGGGTGAAAGAAAACGACAAGACAGCGTGGCAGGGACTCATCAACCTCTTTGAGAAGCAGGGAGCTCAGAAGCTCGATACGTATCGCGACGCAGTTCTCCGACTTGGTCAAGTATATGCCGAATCGTGCGTTTTCATTCCGTCTTTGTCTTAAACTGAATAATCACTAAATAAAGTGCAGAGATGACAAAAACCGCTGCCAAGATTTGGTCGACAAGTACGTTGGGTTCGCGAAGAAGAACGGATCTCGGTCGCAGTACAAGAAAGCCCTCGAATTACACCTGCCATCATGCCCGCTTTACGATTTCCTCGAGGGGAGAGTTCCCCATCCTTCGCACACCTACCTCCGATTGATAGAAATGACCGAGGCGGAGGAAAAGGAGTTTATCAACAGGGAAATCGGTGAACGACGTACGCGACTGGGTGCAAAGATTGATCAAGTTACACTAGAGGTCAAGAGGGAGGCCTTCAAGCGGAGCGAGCTAGAAGAGCTATACCGTGGAATTGTCAATTGGTCTCATGATGATGAAGTTCGGCGCACCTACGAAGAGAAGTTGTTACAGCGGGCGAACGACATTCTCTCCGTGCTACCGGCGAATGAAAAGGACGCCAAGCGAGCAGAAGTGTTCCAGGCTGCCCACGATATGGTGATCATCAAGCACCCTTACGAGCTCGCGTGGAAGATCGTGCTAGAATGGCAGGATATTCAGAACTTCTCGGAGTGGGACCGCAACTTCTTGGACGACTTTATTGAATTCTTCCCCGAAGACGGTGTCTCTAAGCTACTGAGGGGCTTCTTGGCTAGCGACTTGTCACCGTTCCCGAAAGACAAAGAGCCCAAAGAGCCCAAAGAAGCTGCAAAGAAGGATGAAGATACCGAGAACAACAATGGTGAGAGCAATGAACTAGGTGTCCAGGATAACCTGCTCTTGATGGTAGAAGGCCTTGAGGGATCTTCGGCGTCGATCGTCGCTCATCGGGTTGTGGCCGAACTATATCTCTCACTTGAAGAGTACGACAGCACAGTGGATGTCTGTCGGAAAGGCCTTCGCAATGTACAGGACCTTGTCAGGAGGACTGGCATCAGTCTGCAAAACACCACGGATGCACTCAACATAATGCTCGCCAACTCGCTTATTTATTACCAGTCTCCCCGGCATCACCCCGAAGCTAAGCGAATTTTCGAAGAGATCTTGGGTAGAGAGCCGAAATCCACAAGCTGCTTGTTGGGTATCGGTCTGATTCTTAAGGTTGACGAGGATTACTCTGAAGCCGTCAATTTCCTGGAGCGTGCGCTGGAGCGAGACCCGACGAATATTAAAGTCCGCGGTGAGCTGTCGTGGTGTAGGGCACTCAACGGCGATATTGCATCTGGCTTGGAGGGCCTGCAGGACGTTCTTGAAGAACTCCAGGAAGCGGAGTCCGACAATAGAGAATTCAAAGCTGAGATCCTCTACCGAGTGGGATACTGCCAGTGGGAGAATGATCCATCGCCGGCAGCACGCAAAGACCGCACTGGAGCATACGCCAGCTTCCTCGCGTCTATCCAGTCAAACATGAATTTTGCTCCTGCCTATACGAGCCTCGGTCTTTACTATGCGGACTACAAGAAGGACAAGACCCGAGCACGCAGGTGCTTCCACAAGGCATTCGAGCTGTCAGCGTCAGAGATTGAAGCAGCTGAGCGACTTGCCAAGACATTCGCCGATCAGAGGGAATGGGATCTCGTCGAAGCCGTGTCCCAACGTGTCGTTGATTCAGGGAAAGCTAAGCCTGCCCCAGGCTCGAAGCGCAAAGGCTACAGCTGGCCCTACGCAGCTCTGGGCACAGTGCAAATCAACAAGCAACAGTACCCTGAGAGTATTGTCTCTTTCCAGGCAGCTCTCAGAATCTCTCCCAATGACTACCATTCGTGGGTCGGTCTAGGCGAGAGCTACCACCACTCTGGCAGATTCATTGCCGCTACAAAGGCGTTTGAGCACGCACAGCAGCTCGAGGATAACCTTTCCGACAAGGAGCAGATCTGGTTTGCAAGGTACATGCTGGCTAATGTCAAGCGAGAGCTCGGCGAGTACGAGGATGCTATTGCGAGATATGAAGATGTCTTGCAGGTGCGGCCTAATGAATTTGGAGTGGCGATTGCGCTGCTTCAAACGCTTACCGAGAGCTCCTGGAAGAGTCTGGACCAGGGTCTTTACAATGACTGTATCGAGCTGGCACGGAAGGCCCTACTAGTAGCCAAGTCGCTTGCTCTGGAACGGGTTGACGTTTTCAACCTATGGAAAGGAATCGGAGACTCCTGTACGCTCTTCTCTTACGTCCAGTCGAAAGCGGGTAGATTGCCGGTTGATGAGCTACGAGACCTACTTGAGACTCAGCTGGAACCTACGGCCCTCGATATCTTGACAGAAGTTGATAATGTTGGTCATGACTATCTATCTTCGTTAACAGCGGACGATGAGACCGCCAACCGGACAAGCCAATGTCTCTACGCTGCTATCCTGGCCTACAAGCGTGCCATTCAGGTCTCTCTGCGGGACAGCCATGCCCAAGCAGTTGCCTGGTACAACCTGGGCTGGGCAGAGTACCGAGCTTACCGGTGTTTGCAGACTATCCTAAACACCGAGAACAAGAAGCAGTCACGTAAGCTTCTAAAGGCAGCTATGCGATGCTTTAAGAGAGCCATTGAGCTCGAAGCCGGAAATTCGGAGTTCTGGAACGCGTTGGGAGTAGTCACCACGAGTATGAGCCCCAAGGTCGCACAGCATGCATTCGTCCGCAGTCTTCATCTGAACGACAGAAGCGCCCAAGTCTGGACGAACCTGGGAACTCTTTATCTCATTCACAATGACATCCAGCTCGCTAATGAGGCTTTCACCCGGGCACAGTCCACTGATCCCGACTACTCCCCGGCCTGGGTTGGCCAAGGATTCTTGGCACTCTTGTTCGGAGATCCTCAGGAAGCGAGAGGCCTCTTTGAACATGCCTTTGATATCTCCACTTCATCGACTCGTTTGTCAAAAAAGCAGTATACGATGAGCTTGTTCGATCACCTCCTGTCGGATTCGTCGCTGTCGAACGAGATCTCACAACTCATCCAGCCATTCTTTGCCCTGCACCAGCTCTCCAGCCAGGACCCATCTGACCTTCCATTCGTCCACCTATCTGCTCTCTTGGCGGAAAGAATTGGCGAACACACCGACGCTGAAGCTAGTCTGCGGTTAGTTTGCGCAGGCATGGAAAGTGAATACGAAGTCACAGAATCCGCGTCTTCCCTCTCCCGATATGCACAGGCCAATGCAGACATTGCTCGTGTTCTGCTTGCGCGCCACGACTTCGAAGAAGCTGCTGAGAAGGCGGAGACAGCTCTTATGCTGTCTGGCGAAGAAGATGCCGAGAAGTTCGACCCAGAGACGAACCGCAAGTTGCGCCTGTCGGCCCATTTGACAGCCGGTCTAGCACACTACTACATGAAGTCGATGGACAACGCGATTGACATGTTCCGAGACGCCCTCCAGGAAGCCGACAACGCTCCGGAGGTGGTGTGCCTCCTGGCACAGGTTCTGTGGGCCAAGGGCGGAGAAGAGGAGCGCGCTGTGGCACGCCAGCAACTATTCGACTGTGTCGAGGAGAACCCCGACCATATTGGGGCTGTCACGCTCCTAGGAGCAATCGCACTCCTTGACGCCGATGCGGATGCCATCGATGCCGTCGAGTCCGACCTGCAGAATATGATCACAAGAGACGACATTGAGATCCACGAACGCGGCAAGCTAATCAAGCTCCTGACCGCCATCTCGACCCTTGGATTCACGGACAACTCAGGCGTGCCCGAGGATGTCAGACGCGTTGGCGAGGCCACAGCAGCGGTGATGAGATCGCCGTACGAACCTCAAGGCTGGGTAGAGCTGGCGTCTGCTACGCAGGAACTGTACCCTGCGGAGATGGCGACCAAACGGGCAGCGAGGAGTGTCCCTCCCCGAAGCAACCTGGAGGCCATCGATCTCTCCGCGGCATACGCACAGACCGGAAAGGCAAGCGACGCGCTGCGGGCGATCATGGTTGCGCCATGGAAGCAGACAGGATGGGAGGAGTTGAACCACGCGGTCTCAACGACCAGCTAGACGTGTTGTAGTTAGATAACTGTCACACACACATACACATATTAGTATAGATGCATACAAGCATTAGACACACTCCATCATCCACATCCCCTTAATAAGGAAACCAACCTACCACAATAACAAACCCAATCTACACCCCTCCATTAATCCTCCCCAACAACCTCTCCTTCCTCCCCTCCCTCCACTGCACATCCAACCCCTCAATCTTCCCTCCCAACACCACACAGGACTCCGGCGTAAGCATCACCAACCCCCTCGCAACCGTAACATCCCTCACGACGACCTTCGCCCCAATAGCCAACTTCCCCAACCCAATCCCATTGACCTTAGCAAACTCGACCCCGACGGCCCTCGTCCCCGCCGCATCCTGCAGTATCAATCGATGCGGTCCATTACTATCACCTCCACCACTTGCTGCATTATTATTGTTACTGTTGTTCTCCGCAGCAGCAGCCTCACTATCCTCCCCCACATTGACCGTCCTCACGATCTCCCTTCCCCGAATCGCCTCCCCCCTTTCCACGCGCTCAATGGCCTCCACCTGGCTCCAGAGACTCGTGCCGATGTCCTCGATGTCGAGGACTTGGAGTGGGATGGGGCCGTTGAGACGGCGTTCTTGGATTGTGGGGTCGAAGATGTCGACTGGGAGGAGGGTGGAGGGGTTCGTGGCGCTGAGGGAGTCGCGGATGTCGGAGGTGAGAATGCGGAAGAGGGCGGTTTGGGTGAGGGCGCTGAGGGGGATGGTGCGTGATGTTGTTGTTGAGGTCAGGAAGGTGGTTAGCCAGGTGGGGGAGACGGGGAGGGATTTGGTGGTGAGGAGGTTGGTGGTTATTTGTTGATGAGGGGTGGAGGTCATTGTGAAGTATATTAGATCTTGTTCGGAGCGGTACAAGGTGGGTGTAAGTGCATAATTGTGAGCTGATGTTCGTCCTGGGGAGGAATGTAGATAGTAGCTCTGGTAGAAAATGTTTACTGTAGCTCCGATGCGGAGCGGAACGAATCCGGGGAACGGACCAGCTAGCTAGACTTCCATCTGAACTCTCCTTATCGGGGCGATCTTTAAACCTTCAAACCTAACTCCTTTCACGAATCACTACACAAAACATACGCGCATATACTCTACCCTCTTTTCCTAAATACCTACATCTACGAAATCTTCAAATCGACATGTCAACCCTCTCCTCCCCCCGCCCCTCAATCGCCTCATCCCGCGCCCACTCTCCAACACCAACATCCTCGCACCGACCCTCCCTCGACACCCTCAACACCAACTACAACCTCAACAACCTCAGCGCCTCCTCTACCCCATCCACCGCCCGCGCTGTCTCCCCCTCCCTCCACCCCCGCCGCAACCGCGCCGCCCTCCGCGACTACTACAACCTCAAACCGTCCTCCGCAGCCGATCCCAACAATGACGGACGCCGCTCACGCAGCATCCCGCGGCACACCGACGCAGGCGACATCTCCAGCAGCAGTAGCGGTGCCGGCGGCCCATCTATACTCTCCACAACAGGAACCGAGCTCGATAGCCCGGACTTCGACCCGCAACGCTACGTGAACCAGCTCCTCGCTTCGTCGTCGCTATCGACGGTCCTGAAAGCGGAGAATACGCTTGTTGGGGATATTCGCACGCTGGACAGTGAGCGCAAGGCGCTGGTGTATGACAATTACTCGAAGTTGATTAGGGCTGTTGAGACGATTGGGAAGATGCGAAGGACGATGGATGATCGGGGCGCGCCGTTGACGATGACGAAGACGCTGGGGCCCGCGATTGCGTTCGTGGCGGAGACTGCTGGGGGACTGATTCAGGAGGGTGAGGAGCAGCAGAGGAGGATGAGGGAGGTTAAGGAGAGTGAGGGGGGTGAGAGGAGGAGGGCTGAGAAGGGGACGGTGAAGTGGGTGCTTGCGGCGCCGGGGAGGTTGGAGAAGTTGTTGGAGGAGGGGAAGGGGGATGAGGCGGAGGAGGATTGGGGTGAGGTCAAGAAGTTGTTGGATAAGTGGGAGGGGGTTAAGGGTGTGAAGGAGGTTAGGGAGGCTTGTGAGAAGGTTATGGAGGGGAGGGAAGCTTGAGTTGGGAGATTCTATACCTGAGGGGTTATTGAGACTGATCAACAGTCGAGGATGGAGTTGATATGCCCCGCAATTCATGAGAGTCGCCTCTTGGAAGTGATTACGCTGCACCCATGTCCAGTTGAAGGACCATCTTCATGTCGGATTCATAACGTGGGCCTCAGCATGGCACAAGACGGTACCTCGCCATCACCATTCAGCCATGCCACCTCCAGACCGACAGACATTTGTCTCATCCATCAAGGCAGTTACGCAGCTCGAGCCGGTCTCTGAGCTACCACTTATCATCTCCAGGTCATTGAGAAAGCGATATAGATTAATGAAACGATATACCCACAACATGCATACATACCACGGTTCACGTCATATCATATCCAAGCACACATCAAATGTCCAAGACACCAAGCTCAACTCCAAACCCAATATCACAGTCTAGTTACTTCTTCCCAAAATCCCGACTCGAATACATACTGGCCCTCAATCCCCACACATTCCCCCCTTTAATGTCCAAATGCGTATACGCATCACACTTATAATAAATCGGCCGTCCATCCAAATCCACCAACTCCAATTCCGCCATCTTCCTCAAAACCCTCTCCACATCAGCTCTATCCTCATAGTCCTTCGTATAGATACAAATCAACCTCGTCTTCTTTGAACCTCCATCACCAGAAGCAGCAGCAACATCAGCAGCAGCAGCAGCAGCAGTAGCCACCTTCGCCCCGAACCCCAACTCCCCCTTCGCTGTAGCCTCCGCGACTACCCCCCACACCTCATCCACCTTCGCCGGCGAAATAAACAACATCCACTTACCCGAAACCACGCCCGTTTCCCTCGACAGAGCGAACAGCGACCTCTCCAAATCTACACGATGCTTGGTGAGTTCGCGCGTCAGCGCAGCAGGCGTCTGCGTCTTCTTCGGCTTCTTAGCGTGTTCGGCGCACACCTGGGAGATCTTGTTCTCGTGCGCGCGTAGCTCAGCTGTACCATCTTCCACAAGCTTCTTAATGTCCGCTTGGGGGTTCTGATAACTGTAACTGGATATGTATATCCAGGACCCCGTGGGGGATGTGGAGAGGGTAGATGAGGGCCGTAGACGGGCGAGGAAAGATGAGATAGGTTCGTTGGGTGAGGGGCGGTTGTGTCTGATTGGGGTGGTGTCTGTGCTTGAGATGGGGACGTCGAAGTCGTGGGTGGGGATTGGAGTTGATGGGGGTTCGCTGGAGAGGTGTGAAGTTGTGAGGTCCATGGGCTCGGGTGCATCTGATGCATCTGCCTCTGGGGCTGGGGATGACGATGAGGGCATGGTTCCTCGGGCTGCAAGGACGTTTTGCTTGATGGTATTGTACTCATGGGGATGGATGTCTGTCCAGTAGTGGTCTGTGTCGAATTTGGACACTTCTTCTTCTAGACGTGTTGTCTCTTCCTCCGAACCTGTGGGGTTGGTTAGTTGGTGGGTTCGTTTGCGTGGAGGGGAGTACAAGCCGTAGAAACTGGATTCTTCTGATAGGTCTGGCATGGTGACTTTGTTAGACATCTGTGGTGAATCTTTGATAGTGACGATAGGATGAGATGTTAGGATAGTAGATGGATGTGTATGATTAGAGTCTGGTGGTTGAGACAGAGAGATAGATTGAATGGGGAGAGGCCTGGTTGAATGAGGCTGAAGGTGGAACAAGTGAAGGTGACTGGGGCTTGTCACTCCCACCCACCACTGCCACAGTCACTGTGCCAATTATGGGTGAATTAGTGGTCTGGCGTTTGCCTATAAATTTGCAGGCTTTTCCTCGCTTTTCTCTTCTTCTCTTCTCCATCTTTCTGGTTGGTCATCTCCCCTGCAGGCATTTTATATGGACTAGACTTTCTTACTGCCCTGGTTTCATTAGTGATAGACAAGCCTTGATCAACTAATATACCCTATTAAGAAAGCAAACCTGTCTTTCGTAATCTGATCACAATAACGCAAGTATGCCTTACTGCTGTGCTTGATGATTCTGGATTATGGAACCTGATCCTAAATAGTGGCTTGGATTCAAAGGAATGACCCAAGATCCTGAAAACTTTACCTGGTCATACTGATAGTCGTATCTATAAAAACAACACTTTGCAGAGATCATTTCAATTTTCATTATTCCTTTCATTCTATATGTTTTCTTCAAGTCGAGGCCATGGTGGAGGACAACAAAACGCATTGGGGCCCTGCTCAATAAATCCAAGTCGTAATGCAAGAAATTATGCCATATAGCTCACGAGAACTTTCTTATTAAGCTTCTCATTGAACGAGGCCTACCCTGTAGTTGCACTAAACGTGTACTACAGACACAAATCCATTTCGGGGCGTTGCAGGCCGATAGCTGGACAAGACACGGCTATTCAGCAATACTTGACGAGATCGAATATGCCGCCTTACGAGAACCATCAGGCTGTCAATTTCTCGCCCCATCAATGGAATACGAGAAAGCAAAATCACGCATGCGTTTACAGAAATCAGCGGCCGCATCTATATCGGTAAAAGCTACTTTCACTAGGGAGAACTGATAGGAGAAAGCTTCACCCAAGAGATGAATTAGAGCAGCAGACACTGGGGGTCGAATGAGAAGCTATGTCCTCGTGGCTAGGCTTCACGTCTACTACCGCATGACAGACGTGGAAGATATGTATAGCCTGCTGTAGAGTTCAAGTCTCTTTCTGAGAAGCCATGGTAATGAATAAGCTTACCTGCGGAGACAAGGCAGGAAACCCAACTAGTAGTCTATAAGCTGGCTAACCAATACTGCATATTGCGATTGTACTAAAAGTGACCCTGGAGGTTTCTAGGATGCGATACTTTCCATTATCCAGCACGTCACCTTGCTAAGTGGGCATATTGTCGGACCAGAAACCACATGTGCTGGTGTCTATCCATGTTAACTTCAACACCAATCAATTTATTCTTCGGAGGAGTCTTGTCACTATTCCACCAGTGTATGGAAAACCTCGGCAGGAAAGGAACATCGTGCGCCCTTTCTTTTAGGGCTAGAGTGCAGTGGATGGGTCCAGATCATTGATCCATGCGGGAAATGTTACAGCTCGAAGATATTAGGGATAGCGCTACGAACGAAAGGTAGTATGTCAAGGTATTACACTGTCATCATCATTTTTCCCTCCACCTGCTATTTGCCAAGTTCGGAGCAGACTCAACGCGAAAGGGTTGGTGCACCTTATCGGGAACCACAAGTAGGAGCAAGTTGAACTCCTACCGACTCTCTCCAGAGATGACTGTGGAATAACAATCGAAGGACTCCAGAAAGCCACTGTCTCGCTTTGTGGGACCGTTTATGATGGCAGACTAGCATACAACGACAGCGACAACCTAAATATTATAAAGCCGGATATGCCTGCTGACTGATAGTGACCAGAAGGAGGGCGGACAGATAATCGAGCCCTATTATACCAAAACGCTAACATGAAAACTCGTCTTTACCTACACGAGTCATTGGAAAGCCACTCACTCTATAACTTCAATTGCTGTTCCGCAGGTTCTGTTGCACTTTAGAATGGACCAGAAGCAATAGAGACTGGCGATTGGAAGCAGACAAGCATCGCAAGCTTGAACTTCTGCTTGGCGCTTGCCCTGATAATTAATCTGGTATATAGTGACCGGGTACGCATGACAATGACTGTACTTTACCCGATGCTGAGGACACGCAAAATCGCCCCGATCAATGACAGACATCTGGCCCTGCTGTCGGGAGCTAAGATCCATTGAGCTTCTCATTTCCGTTCCTAACTAAATGGCTCCCAGTCAACAACGCCTTGAAGCGAACGTGACTATCGGAAGACCCAAGTAATCTTGGGGAAGTCGTTCAACTCAGCGAGTTGGAAGAGATGAGCATTGTTCCGTGATATGAAGGTCGATCTGGTTTTTCTATATTTCGTTGGCCTAAGAACTTACCCGAGCACCAAATACTTCACTCTAGGAACAGCAAATGGTGCTTACGAGCCGTACGATTTGACCTGATGCCTTATTAATTATCTGACGATATTAGAAGAAAGCATGATAGCTCACAAATGAGCTACAAAACTTTCGTTGTCTCATAGGTCGTACTAGCCGCTGCTTCAGGAAAATGACATTTACAGTTATCCAGTCATTACCGTCCGTCCTAGCAATATAGTTCGAGATGCCCATGTCACTCTTCTATAGAAGCGCTAGCACAGTCTAGTATTTTCTGTCGAACCTGGCTACCTGCAAACATGCATCCGGGTAGTATTTCAAGCAGATGGAGAAACCTCTTTGCCCCCTTTACTTACATATATCGGATCGGGAAACTAATACTCCTCTTCTGCTCATAATGGAAAGACCCACTCAAGTGAGACATGCCCATCAAGAGGAAAAGCTACATTATTCCCGTATGGTATTAAAGTTGACGACTCACATAGGTTATCCACAGGGCCATTTTTCTGGCCGGCAGTTTCTCTAGGGCTGATCCCCGCATAAGCACCCCCGTGGGGAAGAAGAAGCTCAAAAAGGCGCACAAAGGCATCTCCAAAATGCTGATGCGAGATCTTACTTTGCTGGAAGATTCCATCCAAAGAGGAAACTCATGGCATTATTCGTGAAGTTGCTTGGACCCACTGTGGCTGAAAAACATGGAGTACTTGACTCGATTCATCGCTGACTACACACCTTGGTTTATAGCAAGGGCTAACATCTCTGCTCTGCTACTCGGATGCCACGGGCTGTTCGCGGACTTCCCCGTGCTAAGAGTTTAGATCAAGCATCAAAGAAAAAGGAGATATATCAAGGCTTGCCATATCAGCCATACAGAATGACATGGGGCAATAGTTCTATGGGAAAACACTAACCGTCCACGACTGATTCCGCAGGTAGATCCAGTTTGCCCTGAGAACGTTTGCCAATCCAACAGCAGGTGAAGAATAAACCGCGCTCCGCCTTGATGAAATAATAGCTTCAACAATTTCTCAAGAAGAAAGATTTATCAAAGCTGACTTTCCTCTAATTAGCTCTGGTGGATGCAGAATGCTAAGATCTTCAGCAGGGACATCTGAAGGGTCATTTAGAAGAGCAAAAAGAGCTAAACAGATTCCCGCTCGAAGTGAAAAGAGGCGGCAGTTCTCCATAGGAGCTAATCTTTGGACAGAGGATTGGTCGCTCTCACCAGGGTTTAAGGTATAAGTTTCTTGTTGATTAGAGCTGGAATAGTCATGGTCGTTTCCTGTTCGATATTGCATCTCTTTCACCAATTATTGCATATTCCAAGTCCACATCGATTCTGCTTGTGATACATGTATTGGAAATACACCACTAAGGAGACCATACATACCTAAGATACCCAAAGATGCAGAGCTGACGCCTCACGGCCAACAAGTTGGATGGACAACGAACCTAACTCTCAAACTCGCTATGAGTCAGTGAACAGTGAGGATATTTACCGGTGTTCTTGAAACCAGAAATGGGTAACAGACTTTGGGAGTACGCAACCACCGATGGTCAAACCATCGCAGAGAAGAGCATACAGCTCTTGCTCCAGTAGGCGGATCGCAAGGTCAAATAACCCTCTGGTAAACCGCTGAGACCGACCCCTCGTCCGGCCGTCGCCCTTCTGCCCAGTCTGGCCGTGGTTCTTCTGCCCGGTCCGGTCGCCGTACCTCCGCCCTATCTTGATGGTGAGTACCCCTGACCCCCTGTATGCGAAGTCGCGCTGACTCTTGGTGATTTAGAACAGGTAAACGTAAGTCCCATTGCGGCCCTTCGAGGCGTGCTCATGGCTGTTGGCCCCAGTTGTCAGTTGTTCTCTTAGACTAGCTTAATGGAATTCCCTTGTGAAGGATACGTCCGTTCAGTACTACACTAAATTGACCCAGACCGAACGAGTAAGAGAAGGCGTTGGATCGACGGACCCAAGACACTGTTTGCTATCAAGGAGCTTCAGCATGGCTAATGATGAAGAGCCAACCCAGTTAGCAAAGTCCTTCGAAAGAAACTTTACTACGCCTGCCATATTTTGGCATTTCTTCGCTCTTGAAAAGGATATACTGGACTATGACAACTCGCGTGAGCTGGGCAAGTGGTATCTCAAATGTATGTTATTTAAGGTCTGGTATAAGTAATTATTCCTACTAAATGAACTAGGGTACTTTGAGGTGAAGCTACGGGATGACATTGCTGAGACAGGTGACTGACGACTGGTTGATGATAAAGGTTTTGTGTTTACCTTAAATACTTCATAGAATGCATGTCTACATGATATAAATCATTAGAATGTGCTGTTTGAAGTCATATGCGACTATACCGACGTGGCTCGCACAGAGACCTCTCGAGCGAGAGTGTACGTAGCGCTTCACAGTATGTATAGTGTGTTCAGTGATCGCAAACACTAGGTCTACAAGGCAGCATGAAAAGCCTAATTCGGTGGATGGTCTGAATGGAAATATCATTTGAGACGAATAACTCGTAAAAATTGAAATAAGATTCGCTTTCGTCCAAAGTCCCATAGCCTGTAGCTCAACCTGCACAGT